CACTATTGAGGGAATCGTCGAAGTTCTAGCGAGAAGCCGTGACCAGTGGAGCTAATCTGTCTCAGGTAAAGACTGGTATTTACCTCAGACAATAGAATATGATCACGCAATGTCGTGGACTGGTTGAAGTTAGACATTAACACCGTTGGATGACGACTCATGATCTGAATCAAAAAACTTGGTTGTGATTTGATACCTTTTCGAAATATGCCAACAATTCAGTAGTCAACTGTGCAGTAAACTAAGTGATGTATTGGGAGGTAATATTTGAATGCAGATAAATTATGCTTATAAAATGAAATGGATTTACGAAAGATAAATCAATTTCAATAGTAATTTGCCATAATTAACCAGCTTGAGAATCATATTCCTATGCAATTCTATATCAGCTGCCATCATTATGAAGACTAATTGCTTTTGTTTTTATCAACAACAAAAAACCCCTGATAAGTACAAAAAAATGCAAACAAAACCCGTCTTTGCATAAATTTGTGAATTCAAAAATCTTTATCTTCGATAGTACAAAACTGTGATTTTGTCATTATTTGTTTGTATCATGTGATAAACTAATGTCAACAAATTAGATTTTTATCAAAATTCCATATGAAATCTTTAAGTTACCATTTATCCACTAGGCCACTCTGTTAGACTATATTTGATTTATGTTTTTTTTCTCCTAGTGGTATACAATGTGATATCTTTGTAACAGTAAAATTATCAGAAATATTCATTTTAGTAAATGTTAAATTTTACAGTATTATTTTCCAACTAAATAGTACATTCCTATGTATTCAGTAACCCATCTTTAATTATAGACTTGTATTATCAAATTCTCATGTTAATATAGAATTGACTTACAGGATATGACAAGAAGACTTTTCTACAAACAATTAGTCAACTTCATTGAACTGATGTCACATGAAAATTAATTAGATGAAGTTAATAAATCTATAAACATCTAGAATACATACTTCACAATTTATTACTTCATATACTTACTTACTTACTTATGCCTGTTACTCCCAATGGAGCATAGGCCGCTGACCAGCATTCTCCAACCCACTCTGTCCTGGGCAGAGGACAGGACACAATCTTATATAACAGTGATTGATTTTTTTATAAGTAAAGTAAACTATACAATGTTAACTACTGAATAACTCATAATAGTTGCTACTTTAAAAAAGAATCCTCAGTATATGTAAATAATATGTAACTCAATCCATGACCTGTTTTTTTTCGTCATTATTATCTATCTAGTTGATGTTTTGTATGATGAATGAAATTTAAAACAAGATATGTACTAATTAAATAATGTTTTCAATTTAAACTCATATGAAGAAGTCATATAGTATACCTCCGTAAAGCATTGATGACTTGTTTAACAACATTAATTTGCTAAACAATATGACACTGCATTGATAAAAAAAATTCTTGAATTCACATTTTATTTCTGTTACTCCTTCCCTTTAAGGTTTTATTTTAAAAAGTTTAGAGTATGATAAATACAACATTTAAGATTGTGTTATTTATTGCATGTTCATATTGTGGTGTGGGTTACTTATATCCACACAAGTAGTATATAACGGTGGTCAGGCATAGAATGTATTTTAATGGAAGGTTGATGAGGAAAGAACGAGAACGGAACGCAATTGGTATGAAAACGCATGAACAATCAAATCTGAGACAATGGATTGATGTCCGCAACAAAAACAGTCAAGTTTGAGATGACGGATTGATATTTTGCAAATTAACGATTTACTATATGGTTCTCAGATTTTATCGAGATGCTCTGTAATTTTGTGTCAAGTACATTCAATTGTCCCACTGTTGTTCTTGTTCACTACAATATCAGTATCCAATTCTGCAAACATAATCAATGTTAATAACTTAGTTTCGCTTTAAGTTAATAATGTGCGATTATTCTATACCATTTTTCTCTTGAAGAGTAAAACAATTTGATAACAGTTTCCACAACTAAGGGAAAAATATTTTAAATAATTGACCTCTAAGAAATAGCTACTATTATGCTACCTGGTTCATAATCTTAATCAAATCCCGTCTACCAATTTGGAAAGCGGGTACTAAGTTAAGTCACTAGATAGCTCAGTAAACTTTGTTCGGTATTATTTAGTTTAAGCTGCTAACAAGAAGTTAAGAACACAAGTTTTTTGGTGATTACCACTCGATAACAAGATGTAAATGCAATTCACTGGAAACTAGCGTTAGCTATGGAATACTGATTTATATTATCCACGGTCGAAGTCCTAGATGTTACAAGTAAAGTATTTACCTCAATAATAATAGCTAATAGAAATGAGATGCACATAATAATTAGTCGGTTAGTAATAATACAACTCCAAATTCCATAGGGAACACCAGTTCACCGAAGACTGTAAATACTTCTTACTGATGAACGATAATTAACACGAAACCTAAATTCAGGCATTCCCTCTAACTGCCTTCAACCTTTTCAAATTAAGCATAACGTATATATTTAAAGTGTACATTCAATAATTCTGAAATTAATCAAGCTAATTTACCTGTATTTAAACGTATTACATACTTTTTAATGAATTGGCTAGAAATAACTTCTTTTAGGCTAACTGGTAGCTGATATAACATGTACATATAACTATCAAGAAATACTGTATTCACTGTATTGAATAAACAAATTAAAAAAATATATTCATTATTTATCAACAATAATAATAGTGTTATTTTATTTAAATCAATATATTTTCTATCATTTAATTATCTGACTTTAATCTATGGCACCTCAAGTCATGCCTGAAGGTACTTTGAATGACAGAGTAGCGTGCCCATAGAAAGCTGGAACGGAGAAGAACAAGAGAAAAGAAATAAGCCGATGAATCACTCAACACAAATTTAATTTCTGTCTCATAGATACAATTTGAAATTTATGTTATTACCCTTTAATAATACTGTAGTCGTTGAGACCTCAGTTGGAGACAACCAATTTATAATCTTACACGAATTTAGTAAAATATGAGGAACATACATCGAATATTTTATTTGCAAATTTCCAACATTTGTCCTTCACATTCTGTATGATTCTTCCAAGTCACAATTATTTTCTATTTTCACTTCAACTGGATCGTCTTAGCCTTCTGCTGTCAGGTTTTTCACTTCTGATTGGTGCTACATACTACTTATGTCTGTCAACCTAAGTAGCATACACCAGAATACAAGCAGTTATAAATTGTATTTCATATCATAATATGATTTAAAGATACAATCTTGAATTGTATTAAGCTTTGAAACTTCTGTTTTAATGTTACAAGTCCAGTGTTTTATCAATCAGGCTACATGACGTAACAGGCAGGTAGACTTAAAATTGGTCTGAATGACCCAGTAGTATAATTGGTTATAATCTAAAAACAAAGCACATGTTGAGTCACCTTTTATTGAGTGTGATTCTTAACCAGAATTTTTTGATCACTATTTACATTGATTAATATTAGGTGAGTAAAAAGCTGGTAAACATTGGTTTTCTTACCAATATTTAGCTGAAAATGAAACGAGAGATGATAATTAATAAACCACTAGTTCTTTGACTTCAGAGTAAATTATACATATAAGTAAGATATACCCAACCAATATTGTAGGGGAAGCCTGTGGCCCTTCAGAAAAAGGAACCCTGCGAAGAAAGTGCGACTGGACACTGAAGAAAGCAAAGGAAAAGTATTCATTTTAGTTCATTTTTAATGTGTATTTAGGAATTATAGAATCAGTAGTGTGGCGAGATCAACTTAACCCGCACTACGTAGCGCTGATGAACTATTGATTAGTTCACAAGTGGAGAAACATGGAACTTTCCCCAAGTATTCTATATATGCATATATTTAAATGCAGATATTAAAGATACGTACATTCCAGTGATATACATATAAGAATAGATGGGCGCAGTTGCTATTATGCGTTACATGCAATTCTAGAATGCTCAAACAAGTCCACTCATCTCACAAGTACACATAGACATAGAAGTTTTTGCTAGCAAATATATGATATATGCACAGGTAGAACGCATAATCCGAGGCGCATGCACTCCAAAGGATACATATAGGTATGAATCCAACCACCACAGGCCGTATCCCAGCAATGTTTTCACTGAAAGAGTATCGAGTACTCAAATCAGTATATTATTAAGTCATCATAGACGATGTGCTCACTACACGCTCACACCAAAAGCAGGTTCAACTTCAATCCTTGTACATTGTTTACAGCACAGTTTATGGCCTACACTTTGGCCTTCTACTGCCAGACCTTATGAGCCCTTCCAGACAATGTCCGATCAGGCACCAAAAAGGAGTTTTCTCCAGCGCCACAATTGCACTCTTTATCCGAAGTTAACATCCCCCCTCTTGTAACCAGAATCAAGGGAGAGTGGGCGATTAACCCTATCTCCACCTGGCATGTGAACAGTTGGTGGTAGATAAAAATTAAAAGAAGTTCACCAATAACTCATCAAAAAACAAGTGGAATTTACTAAAATTTATATTTTAACAATTAGTTTCTTGAATTAGATAATTCACAAAACTCTTTTTCATGAGAAGATTATTTTCATTAATGTCTTCCGTCAAATGGAAAAGGATCACTAGATATTTAAGAGTTCTGCTAAGTTGATTAACTCGTTAGAAACTCTTAAACAATGGACAATACGAAACATAAATAACGTCTGTGGGTAATGGATATAAATCTAAATGTAACAGTCATTCTCTGCTTTCAAATGTCAACTGGTGATGGAGACCATTTTTAAACGAATCTTTTATTAATTTCGTAGATATAAAGTATGTAATGCAATGACGGATTATATGCAGTTTCAGTTGATATCTTAAGACAAAACAAATTGAAGTATTGTTGAAATGCAAAAATATTGTGAATTATGTGAAGCATTTATTACCCTATTTCAATATGTTTTCTCATTTATCTCAACGTTCGATCAGTTTGATTTTACTGAGACATTGTCAAATGTAAAGGTCCTAAAAATATGATGATGATGATGATGATGATGATGATGATGATGATGATGATGATGATGATGATGATGATGATGATGATGATGATGATGATGATGATGATGATGATGATGATGATGATGATGATGATGATGATGATGATGATGATGATGATGATGATGATGATGATGATGATGATGATGATGATGATGATGATGATGATGATGATGATGATGATGATGATGATGATGATGATGATGATGATGATGATGATGATGATGATGATGATGATGATGATGATGATGATGATGATGATGATGATGATGATGATGATGATGATGATGATGATGATGATGATGATGATGATGATGATGATGATGATGATGATGATGATGATGATGATGATGATGATGATGATGATGATGATGATGATGATGATGATGATGATGATGATGATGATGATGATGATGATGATGATGATGATGATGATGATGATGATGATGATGATGATGATGATGATGATGATGATGATGATGATGATGATGATGATGATGATGATGATGATGATGATGATGATGATGATGATGATGATGATGATGATGATGATGATGATGATGATGATGATGATGATGATGATGATGATGATGATGATGATGATGATGATGATGATGATGATGATGATGATGATGATGATGATGATGATGATGATGATGATGATGATGATGATGATGATGATGATGATGATGATGATGATGATGATGATGATGATGATGATGATGATGATGATGATGATGATGATGATGATGATGATGATGATGATGATGATGATGATGATGATGATGATGATGATGATGATGATGATGATGATGATGATGATGATGATGATGATGATGATGATGATGATGATGATGATGATGATGATGATGATGATGATGATGATGATGATGATGATGATGATGATGATGATGATGATGATGATGATGATGATGATGATGATGATGATGATGATGATGATGATGATGATGATGATGATGATGATGATGATGATGATGATGATGATGATGATGATGGAGTTAATGTTTTCACTGTTTTTATCGAATTGACAAGTTCACTTATTTGAATATATATGTTTGTGATAAATATTTGAAACATACATCAATCTAAATTAAAAAACTCAGTCAACCACTCATTGTGTACTTTTAGAAATGCAATTATTTCTATATTTAGTATGAAATAATCATTAAGTTTTCTTTTTTCTTAGTTAAAAGCAACAATAAACTCATTAAAAAAATAAATGCATCCTGTGAAACTCATACTCAAGAATTAGTAATCATAATAAATAAAATCACAAATGAGCTGCTTAACTGTATTTTTATTTATTAGTCTGATCACATAAACTACGCATCATCTGTGTGTAAAACTCCCTATTGACACATTCAACGTAATTTGTAGATTTTTGTCAAAAAGTCTACTAAAAACAGAATAATAATAATAATAATAACAATAATTGTAATAATAGGAGAAATATATAGTTATGGCGCATAGCATTGGATGACGTTCATTGTAATCCCCTCTTTCTTTGTTTTGAAGGAAGTTTTGATGATCCTAGATCCATGAAGTTCCCATCCTATAAGTGCTTTTTGTTCTTGTTTGGGAAGCATCAGTGCAATTCCTTGTGTATGTGATGCATTTTCTTCTTCATGGCCCTGAATCTAGTCTTTGTTGTCCAACGTGCGTCCGATGTGTTTCACTGATTCAAAGCACCTCAAGGTTGCATCTTTTCATTTCTGCAGCAACTTGGATGACTCTCCCGGTCTCCTACATTGTACGAACGTTCCATTTACCTAAATTATTGGTTGCTTTGGTCGTCGGAAGAAGCATCAGACGTCATGACTCTTCTAAATGAAAACCTTCTGACTTCCAAGGCAAAGTTTAAATGGTTTGAACCATTTTTAATGGTTAGCGTTTTTTAGAGAGTTAGTATTCTACGATACAAGATCGCTAACCCCATGCACAATCCTCCTTTTTGTCCGTGCTTGGGACCGGCAGTAGCCCCAGAGTGGCTCCAGGTGGAGACAGACATAAGAAGAATGAATAACAATTGTATAGAACTAGGAAGGAATGCCCAAGACCGTGTGGGTTGGAGAATGATGGTCGGGAGCCTATGCTCTTATGGGGGTAATATGCATAAGTAAAGTAATTAAATATAGTTAAATATCTAAATGTTGGATGTAGTATATATAGAAAAATATTATTTAAAAAATCAAATGATCCCTGATATATTTACCTAAAAAAGAACTAATTGATTTTACTGACACAATCAGTGGTTTTGTTATAGATCGTCAAAACATCATAGATTTTGTACATTGTTCAACATAATCAGAGGTTAATTTTTGACAAATTATGCTTTTCTTAAACATAACTTGTCAGCAGATAAAAATGTTTATCTTAAATGATTATGTAATCATCGAATTTTTTAATCGTTTTAACAACAACCATGGAAAGCATGTATTTCATTTGAAATTTGTCATATAATGGTAAGTTAAATGAAATACATATTTCATATTACACTGGATAATGGTCGTGCTAATATAATAGACCATATGCTACTAAAAATGTAGACCATAAAGTATCAAATTAGTGTCTATCGGTTGTACACTGATCGCAAGATCTAAAAATTCACAGTTCCATTATGGAAATGAATGTTAGTGTGAACTGTAGATAATTCACAAACTATAACGGAATGGATCATTAATAGATACTCCTTAAGCTGATATTAATAAATGGTAAAAACTATATTCCATTATCAAATGTGAGTTACGTAAATTATTAATGAAAAGTATGGAAAAAGAAAACTATTATTATTGGGTACTCTCAATAATCCGAAATTTCGGATAAATGTGTTATATTAAGCAAGTGATATAAGATTAAACGTGTGTGTGTTTCTACTCAGATTTTTTAACTAAATTGTAAATTAAATGAAATAAGAGGATTGAGTTCTGTTTACCTATTTACTTGAGTAAAGCTAACAAGATACTTCAATAAAAGTTATTAAAAGTGATTTTTAAAAGTATTTCACTTGCGTCTACTTATCAACTTTTCACGAGCTGATTCTAAAACTCAGCTCGTAATCTCCATATAGTCGTTTGATAAGATTATCTGAAATAACCTCAGGCATCCACTAAACAATTCTAGTATGTGTGTTTACGTGAGTCAACGGGAAAAATGTTGAAATTACCTACAGGGATGTCTCACCACTTATTATAAACGGGGTTATCAAAATGATAATTAATTTCAGTTAACATTCTAAATAATCCGATATTCTCAACAGATTACGATCTCTGTTTATTCGACCAAGCAATCAAAAGTTATGTGCAAATGATCTAATCTTTGTGAACTGAATTACAGTCTCAAACAGAAGTTTGTCATATAATTAGTCATTTCTTTGCACTTTGTAAATACATTTCTCCAACAAGTAGATTATTCAAGACCGATAGAATGTCTCAATTATATTTCATTAACTAACGACATCTGAGTTGATCTACTGTACATCACTATTATTAGAATGATTTCTGAGTGTGATTCAATTCACCAACGAACAGCCAATTAACTGTTTCCTCATTTCAATGAGAGCCGAGAAATGGTAACTTGCATTTAGAGTACTTTTAGGAACCGTGTTTTTAATCTGAATGTTATGTCAAATATTAAAACTACAGACTGACAGGTGTTCGAGATATAACCTTGATTCAAATTGTTTAATTGTGACTGAATGTTTTGACATACATTCATTGAGGCTTCTTTACATGTGACATACTAAATTCTATTTGTATTGGTTGGTATTTGCTTGTTTTGGACACTAAGGATTCTGACTGAAAAATGTAAATCCAAGGCGGATTGCCTCGATATCGCTATTTAATCATACGCTTTTAGTACACTAGGATATTGGTTTGAAATAGAATCCAAGATGCACGTTTCATCTTAATTAGAGTCATCAGTTGAATTTTCCTATATCCCAATGTTGATATCCACTCTGGGATTAAAACCTAGTACCTTTCGCTTCAAGCACCAACGTCTTATCCAGTGAATACCATAAATATGTCTAGAGTGTGCTGAATAGAATAAAACACTCTACATTTAAATACTACCAGTATATAGTTAAAATTACTTTTTGAACATTCACGTGACAAACGGATAAATTCAGTGTAAAAAAAACTACTACATACTCAAACCTACTACCTCTCCTGAGGCGCAGGCAGCCGAACAGGAATCTCCAGCTAACTCGGACCTAGACACTCCTGCTCTATTGTTGTCAAGTCATATTTATAGTCTTAATAACCTCCTGCAAATTCATGTCCCATGTATTATTTAGCCTGCCTCTTTTTCCTCCATCTTGAAGATCCCAAGTTAGAGATTGTCTTATGGTGAACCTCCAGAAAACTATTTTAATTTCTGATTTGTTCGCGTTGGCAGTTCACTACTGCCGATGATCTCAGGGTAATGAATTTGGAGTATCTTGCGTAGACAACTGTTTATCAATACCTATACTTGCTTGATGATAACTATGTGAATTTTTCACATTTTAGTTTTGTACAACAGAGCTGTTCTAATGTCAGTGTTGGAAATTTCAACTTTGATATTGTTTGACATTTGTTTTGAGTTCCCAGTATTCTTCAGTTGTAGGAATGTGGCTTTTCTTTTTCCAATTCATTCTTTTACACCTTCATCAGATCCTCCTTCTTTACTAACGATTCTACCCAGTATGTAAATGTTTTGATCTCTTCCTGAGTTTCGCCATCAGACGTAATTTAGTATATGCCTGTGCTGTACTTCAGGATCTTACTTTATCCCATATGAGTCCTGAAACCTACTTCTTCATAAGCTGCTTCTACACTGGCTATCATTGTTTACATTTGTTGTTGTTTATCGGTTAGAAGTGCTGATTCATCTGCATAGTTCAAGTTATTCATTTGGGTCCAAGGTGTTTGCTGCATTCTACATTTCCCCTAAAATGTAGAGTCTTCATAATCCAGTCAACAACCAGAAACAGAAGACGTGAGAGTAGGCAGCCTTTGTATTGGGGACGCATCTGTGACCTGGTCACCATGCATGACTCTAATTCCTCTCATCGTTGGAGTTCTATGTGATATTGATGGTCTTTATAGATAGGTTTCCTACGCAAACTGTCAAATCCTTTCTTCTAATCAGGGAATTTGGTGTTTTCCATTCAGCTGACTGCTCAACAATGATTCACAGTGTCACGATTTGGTCGGTACATGGCTGGTCTTTAAGATAACCAAGTTGTTGGTCTCTAGGTTGAATGTCCACTAAATATTTTATTTAGTTCAGCAACACTCTGTTGAAAAGTTTGTTCACCACTGATAGTACTGATATCTATCCACAGTTTTCATAATTACTGCAATTTCCATCATTCCGCATCTCGATGTGGCATATCTCTGTCTAATCTGTTAATACTTATTTTTCCACTTGGATCTCTCCAAAGAAAAAATGGGACATCTTTGGATTTACCTATAAATTTTACTTCAATGCCTCAGCTGGTATGTTGTCCAGCTTTGTTGCTATACCATTTTGGATTTATTTGATGGCCCTGACGACTTCCTTGATCGTTGGTGCGGTAGCATCTATAGGCAGGTACGTACGTGCTTCTCTGATATCCTGTGAGTTCACTGAGGCTAGTCTATTCAAGGCTCTTCAAAGTGTTCTATCCATCTATTCCACTGCTCTTAAACTCAGGCTTCTTGGTTGTGTTAGAAGGTTCTTCAATATTTCGTTTTCCTGAAACTTCTGTAGTTGGCAAGTATTCGATATACTTGTTCGTCATCCCTAATACCCTTTCTTTCTTAGATATATTTAACCTGTGCCTGACTACAGTCTCCTTGTTCTGGACTGTCTTCACAAATTCACTCCTTATTCTGATACTTCTTAGAGTCAAGCAAATATCAGAATAATGAAGTTATTGCTTCTTTAATCCGTTTACAGTTACTCTCCATAGAATGTGTTGAACTTTTGAAATGGTTCATGTCTAATTATCTAATGCTTCTTTAGCTTTAGTCTTAGCTTGCTCATCACAAAATGATGATATGAAGCTATATCACCTCCTCTTCTTATTCTTTTTCTATGAAATTTCAGAAATT